TCATTTCCTTCCAGCAAAAATCCATTTGATTACGGTATTTGATGCTGTAATCGCCGGGAATCGCCCTCTCGAAAGACCCACGGTTACGGTATCCTTAAGCTTAGGCTGATATGCCACAGTATGCACTTGAAAGGGAGCATACTGTAGAAATTTCTTAAAAAATACTGTATCCTTCAAAGCTTGAAACCGAATATTCAAATTAAGGCATAAACTACCGTAATCAAGCAAACAAAACCCTTTTAAAATTCTTCCGCAACAAAATGACATAAACTCCAACCTCTCCGCGCGTCCGGGCTTTTTCCTCCGGTAGATTTCCATCGTCATCAAGGTACAATATAGCTAGCGTAAACAGTACCCTCACGGATTTTGCAGCAATATAGATAATTCCGTAAGAATACGATCACCAGTTTCGCTATATAATTCCCGAAATTTCGTGTCGCGGAAAATGACGCCGTGAAATGGTTGGCCTTCTACCGGCGGATGAGCCCAATGATTAGCCGGTTTTTCTGTTTGATTCTGTCATTCTTCTGCATTCAGCTCGCCGCTGATAACCCCCTAATTTGTGACGAGAATTTGGCCCGGGGGCCACGTATTTTAATAGCTAGTTTCGGGGATACGTATTTAACTTTTTTTTGGGGTGGGGCTGGGTGCGAAAATATCGCGATGGAACGAAAGCTATACGGTGGGATCAAATTTGCCGGTACATTTTGGGTTGACTACATGGAAATTTCAGGTATTGGGGAAAGAATCGAAAAAGCAATGCATGGCAAGCGAGCAGAGACCATTTGGGAGCTGCGGATCTGCCGGGTAGACGAGCAAAGATCATTGGGAAGAATTCGTAGCCGCGGGCAAGAATCAAAAAGTTTTGGAAAAAATGGTCTCACAAGCAGGACAAGCTACCAATGATTCTTTCGGAGCTGAAGGCACTCGAAACACCGATTAAAGCTGGGCAGGCTAGCAGCGATCATTTAGGACCAGATCCGATTTTTCGATAGTTCTCAAAGCGTCATCTGATTTGGGGCAGGCTAGGAGAGATCATCGAGGAAGCCCGAGGGTAGCGGTCATTTTTAGGAGTCAAATTACGGAGGCTCTATCCAGTCCAGGCAAGCTTACAGAGATGATTTGGGAAGCCCAGCGGCTTGTTACACAAGTAGAAACTGCTATCTCGCATTGGGATGTTAACAGAGGTTTCTTGCGGGAATCGGTTGGCTAGCTACCTTTGCAGGCAAGTAAAGTTCATTTGGGCAAAATCGCCGGATTTTTTAATTATTGTGCGGTGTGAAAGGCATACTAGCAGCGATTCTTTGCGGAAAATCGGCAGATCTATTCCGGGTCGCATGCTAGCAAAGATTCTTGACTACTATGCGTCACTATAGCTCTAAAACAGGCATTGGACTCAAAACGCTTAGGCTTAGGCTTAGGCTTAACCCTGGCTTAAGTTTTGGGATTGGCTTTTTGGCTAGGACCCCTAAAAGATCAAAGAGCTTCACCTCTTTCTCGTCAACCCTCCTCTATCGGCTGCCTACCGTAGCCTCAGAAAATATATGCCCCGCAATTCTGTGGGTATTTTGCAAAAATGGACAGCTGCCGGCGGGCGAAATTGGACCACCCCCTGGAAACATATGAGCGCATAATGTGATGGCTCGACAAATTCAAATCAAATGACGTTTATGACGTCTTATTGAGAGTCGAGAATAGCCCCCAAGACAAAGCAAAATGATTTTGATGTTTCTAAAAATGGGGGCAGAGTCAAAATAAAATACTTTTCGGACAGAAATCATTTCGGGCTTATAAATAGTTCAGCGGAGGGGGAAGTGAACAAACTAAATTTGTTATTTTAGGCTGCAAAAAGGGAGCAAAAAAGCATCCAAAAATTTTCGAAGTTTGCAAAAGCTTTTAAAAAGGAAGCTCTGAAGTTAAGTTTATAGTAAAAGATTACGTTTTCGAATTATAGTGACTGGCCGATTTTGAATTAAAACAGGGGTTTTAATGCCGCTAAACTTAACTAAAATTCGATGAATTAAGGCTTGTTTTTGAAGATACCTACAGCTCAACAAGCTTACTTTCAAGAATTTAAAATTATTCGATTAACTAGATTTAAAGCTCCTGAAAATCTATTTTTAAGATTGCGGAATTTCATCAAAGCATACCGCAGCGAAAGTGGGGAGTTTTTTTTGAAAAGCCAGGATATAGGTCCTGTCTTGTTGATCCCTTTAAAAGTCCCAAAAATGATCTAGTTTTTCAAGAATTTCGATTTTAGCATAATAAGATTTTTGCAAAAAAGGCGATTTCCGAGACCCATTAAAATGCTCAGAAATCACCACCTTTAATATTTCAATAAATAAAATTGGGATAGTAAGGAAGACCGAATCTACCGTATGCCGCTGTTTGAATCTGTAATTCTGAGCATTTTCTGGAAATTCGGAGTCGTAAGCCCTATGCCATTCTATTCCACACTTCCAGCCACCGTAGACCAATCATCATCCACCTCCAATTTTCCATCCACCTCACGCCCCGGCTATTTGCGTGGGAGTCCACCAAATAGGGAAGCGGGCAGGCAACCTCCCCCCTTAAAAGGGCCCTAGCCCGTCGCAGGAATCTCGGAAATTCGAAAAATGCACCCGGAGGCGGTCGCTAGAGAAGGAGGATAAAAGGAGAAGAGAAGAAGAAGACGACGTCATCTCCCTCCACGTCCCCGCCAGCATCCTCTGGACCTTATTCTCTTGCTCTAGTAGATCTCGGTCTCTCTCTCTCTCTCTCTCTCTCTCTCTATCTCTCTCTCTTCCACGACAAGCCGAAATTTGTTTTTCGCCTTTCCGGGGGATGCCCCTCTCTCCATCTTCTTCTTTTCCAGTCAGTGACGGCTTTGGCAACGACGGGGTGTGTGGATGCGGGGGATTCAGATTAATATTCTGTGCCAAGGACCCGTCATCACCATGGAGGAGGAGACATCCAACCGAGTATCATCATGGAGGCGGAAAATGAAATTAGGGGTCGAAAACCCGAGGAAATACGTGTCAAGTCATCATTACTATCGCCGAAAAACTTTCAGGGCATTAAAGGTATCAATCGACAGCATTAAAATCAACAAGAGAAAAATCAGATGGCCAGATGACCGGGTTGAAGGCGTTAAACCAGCGTTACAATCAGAAAATACCCCAGTTCCAGTAAAGGTTGAATGGTACTGGACTATTAGCGGTGGGGGGATAGCAGGGGGAACCAAACTATTCCAAGTAATGCCCAAAACAGGTCAAAATTTTCGCTTTTAAAGTTATTTAAACCATTTTTTAAGTCTCTAGCAATTAAAACTACCAAAAAACCCTAAATATTATCACCAGGTATAGGAGGAAAGATAAAAAATAGTTGCACCCCCTGTTAAAAGCCCACCCAGTCTATTCTTTCAAAACTCAAGGCATTTCTATGGAAAAAGGCTAAACGACCTTCGTTCAAAATTGACGTCTTTCCCATGGCCTCTACCTGCCCTTAGGTGTTGAACTTTTATTATGGACCCGGGGCGTAAAGCATTTGGAAGCTGCTGAATTCAAAGGCCACTCAATGGTCTATGGTCAGGGCCTGAAGCTCTAAGATTCCCTTGAAATTTTATGTTAGAGGTCCACCCTCTTCTGCGGCGTCATATGAAGAAAAACCACATAAAAAGCATAGGTTAGCTGTTGTTACTAAACAAAAAACCTAGAGTCGAAAGCCGGGATTAAACATGAAAATTAGGTGTTCGAGTATACCCAAAAACATCTGCAGAAAGATAGCAGAGAAATAATAAATACGAACCCTTATTTATTATTTAGCGGCTATTGCACGCGGCTGAGAATTTGTGGGAATCCCCACCCGGGGGTGTTTTTCGATGTGGCAAATTTTGGCCGTCGGCACGTCGCTAACCCTAACTAGATATTCTAGCCCACCCGTGCACCAAAATCGGATAAACACTCGGATTAGGGTGGCGAGGACCGGAGACAAAAGTTTGGGAAAGCTTTGGAAGCACGAAAATAGGCGCAAATTGTCACAAAAAGTCTTGCAACAACGAAAACAACTTTTAGCAAGTATTTTCAGTATTCATTAGTTTTTATCCCGATAGAAAAAATAAAGAAATTCACGCCCTCCTGAAAAATGCAAACAGGCCCATCACGCTACCCCGTCATCCCACGTGCATAAATGCAAAAAAACCATTAGTCGGGTTGCCCCATTTAGTGGATTAATAATTTGGGCGAAGCCTCTATGTCACTTCCACGAAAAACTGGACGCGATGACAGGGGTGCCGATTAATTTATTACGCGTCAGCCAGTAAAATGAAGCTAAATGAATGGCAGGGAACGTGGGACTAGAAAAAAAAGGCTATCGAAGGATTGCGCGGGCATAACACGCTTTTTGCAAAACGCAAAGGCGAGCCAATTTTTTTGTAAAAATTCGAATGGCATTCGAAGTATTTCAGCGCTGCTACGTGGGTCGTTCCGAAAAACAGTAAACCATAAACTTATAAAGGCAGCGACCCACGCCCGGGCGGCTGTTGACCGTTTGCGAGTCCATGTGCCTAGGCCCTAGCGTCTGCCATGTGTTTCTGCGGTGTTTTTCTCCGTCCTTTGGTCGTCTCCGCCTCTGCCCTTCCCTGTTGATCCGGCCCCATGATGTCATTCGATCGTTGAAATCCACGGTGCCATAAGCTTACGGCCAGTACAGCGGCAGCTAACGGCGTGAAATCGCCGCTGCCCCAAGGTCCAAATTTCGCCTGCAAGAACACCAAGCGTCATCGCAAGAAACTACCAGTTTGTGGTGTTCGTATTCGTGCTTTACCGCGCGGGCCATCCAAGCTTCACCAAGACGAAATGCAAACCAACAGCAGCATCTTTCTGTAATCTGTTCAATGATAGTTTGTGTGCAGTTTCAGTATTGTGCTCGCCTCTTCAAGCTTTCACCATTCAATACATACACAAAATAGCAAAATTTGAATTGAAACAACAATTCATCCAAGCAATAAAAATCCCATTTTACTTCAGCTTCTTCTTGATGCGCAGATCGTTGGAGTGTCCGCACTTCTTCTTGCGGCAGTTGGTGGCACGCGGCGGCAAACGGGCATAGCAGCGGCGGCAGATCTGCTTCTCGCAGTTGTACTTCTGGGCTAGTTGTCGGAGGGACGGCTCGATGATACCTAAAAAGAGAAAGTTCCGGACCTGAAGCCACGATTGTACCTCCTCGCAGGCGAAGAACAAGATGGAGGGTCGACTCCTTTTGAATGTTGTAGTCGGAAAGTGTTCGGCCGTCCTCGAGTTGCTTTCCTGGAAAGAAAATATAGAATGGTCACAAAACAAGGAAGAATCGAGCGGCACTATAACACTTTGATTGTCTACAGCATGGTTTTTCTCAGCTTTCACGGCCCCGACGGAGCTCAGCCAAGATAAGGAATATGCCGCAGGGGCCGGGCATCTCCAAAAGGCGATGGAGCGCCACACGACCCTTGCTTTAGGACCCAGCAAATGGATAGCCACAGCGGTGACATCCGAACTTTGCAAGGAGGAAACCTCCAATGGGTCCAAGGCATCAGTCGAGCCAAGAAATTAAAATTTACCGGCGAAAATCAGGCGTTGCTGATCCGGGGGGATGCCCTCCTTGTCTTGAATCTTGGCCTTCACATTCTCGATCGTGTCCGACGCCTCGACCTCGAGGGTGATGGTCTTGCCCGTTAGTGTCTTGACGAAGATCTGCATCTTCCTGAAAAATAAAAGTAAATACAGGTTGGAAAATATTGAGGAGGAAAACTGAGAGCGAAATACAAAGTGGAAGCGGAGAGGCATGGTTGCAATAGCGAGAAAGCGTGGACGGGATAAAAATTTAGCGAAAAACTAAAAATTTGGGAAAGAAAAAAGTCAAGAATTCTGGGAGAGAAAGGAGAAAAAATCGGAAGACTGGGGACGGGAAATGAGGAAATTCCCCGTGGGCATCGCGCAGCGCACGGCACAAGGACGGCGATTGGAGCGCTGCGGATGCTAGAGACGCAGAGCGTGGCAGCCCACAGACTGGGCGGAGAAGTAAGGCTACAAGTAAATAACAATAAAATACCAATAAAATTAAATTAAAAATAGCTCATCGTTTTTTTATATTGCTGTAGACTAAGAAAAAAATTGTAAACTTTTCTTGGTAGGCAGAGACCGGGTTATGCCTTGTATTATGCTTTTAATGGCGCTATAATCAATTGAATTTTATCATTTTTTGAGAAATGTGCCAATCAACCTCAACTTTCGATAGAATTCAGAGAGCTGGTGTCGATAATACAAAAAATACATCTAGTTTAAAGGCAATTCGGTCACAGGATCACAGAATGGGGCTACCTGTCTGGGGGAGTCAGCTGTTAGAAAAAGTATAGAAATCACAAAGTCATAGAGATGATAGTTGAAAAGCTGGGTACTAGTATACTTTGGGGGGGCCAAAAAAATTTTGCGGCCAAAATTTCTCATTTTTGCACTATTTTGTTCAGTTTTTCATGCTGAATCGAATGCACATGTTTCCAGATTTTTTATTATTGCAACAAGATAAGAATTAGGCAACAATATCAATTACTAGCAGGGGTGGATCTCCTTTACATGCGACCAGAAGTTGAAGAATTGATCGCATGCTTAGGATTAGACTTAGGCTTAAGCTTTGACCTAGGCTCAGGCTTAGGCTTAGGCTCAGGCTTTGGCTCCTGCTTTGGCTTTGGCTCAGGTTAGGCTTAGGCTTATCTGCCGCTTGTGCAACGGTATACTACTGAAAAACTATTGAAATTACTTGTGATATAAATAGTTAATTATTACTAGAAAACATGATATAAAAAAATCTGGAAGCACTTTCATTGGATTCAGCACGAAAAACTGAACAAAATAATCGAAAATGAGAAATTTTGGTCGAAAAATTTTTTTGGCCCCCCCAAAGTATACTAGTACCAAAAGCTGAGCAAAATGGCAGTTGGGTACATCACAAAAAAATGTCGTCGTATCACTACAGCGCGTCATCTTCGACGCAAATCGGGCAGGCTTCCAGCGCGGGGATTTTTCGCTGTTCGCAGAGGCGATTGTGCTAAAAATTTATTGGCTTATTTAGGAGTCAGATCCAGTTATTTTCAGAGTGTTTTCAAGCCCTTTAGTTAACTCACATCATCAAAACATCTGGAATGTGTCAAATGGCCGCAGACGAACAGTCGCATGTCCTCCTTGCGCTCGTCTACGCCGAATATCCGATATCTAGAAGACTTCGTTCGTTTTCAGGGTTTCGTCATTTTACGAAAATTTGCGTAGCGTGGCGCGTAACGTACCCGCACAATGCGCACGTTGTTCTTGGGCGATAATACGCGGCCGAGCGGGCCTGTTTGTAGAAGAGGTCGAACATCACCGTCACGTCCTCCAGGGTGGCCAAATGACAGCATTTTTGGAGCACGACCTAGACAAGATGATTGGGTTATTAGCTATCACTTTAGAGATTGTCATAATTAGGTTTATTAGGGGATATAAGACCATAAATAGGTTTCGGAATTACCTGGGACTCGTAATCCCGTAGCACCTTCACCAGCAAATCTCGTAATTTTGGTATCTGCATCTCCGGCGGGATCTGAAAACCGCAGATTTTTTTGGTTTCGACCATTGTTCCTACCTTTTCAATAATGGCCAATGGCTCGATGGAGGTACCGGCCGTCTCGAGCAGTTGGCTGACATTTTTCGCCGACTTCGACGCGATCACCTCATCAACGAGCAGGGACCAGAGCTCATCATCGCCGTATTCTGATTTTATAGATTTTTTGGGTATGGTTTTGTTACTAACCTCGACAAAGATCGATAGCTTTATCAAGCCGTTTCTGCTGTTGTATCATCACGTTCAGCGCTTCACGCCGATTTCCGCTTTTGACGAGCAGATAGACTTTCTAAAAGTTCAAAGTTTAGTATTTTCTTGTAAAACTAACCTCATCCACATATTCCTTTTGGCTACAAATATCGAGCGCGCGGCTCGTGTGGTAGGCCTTGTTCTTGCGGAGGAAGGGGAGAAGCCCGGGGCGGTCGAGATCGGCGAGGAGTTGGATCATCAGATCGGCGTATTCGTCGCCTTGATCACGTTCGAAGAGTTTTCGCAGGTAGGCTAGCTCAAAAAGGAGAATTTGAAGCGTAGGAAAACTAATTTTACCTGCAACTTTGGATCTCGGGCTATCCGGTCCATAACCTCCTTCGGCGAGACCGACATCTCGTTGTTGAGCAGCAACGACAGCGCCTGATCCTTGTCGATCACCATCAACTCGGTCAGCTGGTCTTTAACCTAGAAATAGTTTCATTTTTAGGTTTTTATAATTTTTCTATAACCTACGTAATTAAAGTTAGGGTTTAATTTACATTGTTTGTTTGTGTCTACCAACCTGCTCAAAAAGCTGGTGCTTCCTGATGACGTTGAAGATGAACTTGTCCTTGAACGAGAAATAGATGCGCAGAGCTTGATCGTATTTCCGGTCGGCCACGTAGAGGTTTGCCAGGGCTTGGTAAAGGTCTTGCTCCTCTTCGGCAGACATTGGCCTCTAAAACGCAGCCATATTGTAGAAATTTTGGAGCTGATGCTCACTTCTCCATCGGCCGATCCTTCACGTATTCTTTGCATCGTGAGGGCCGTCAGGGCTCCGACTCGGAACAGATCGGGGCTCCATCTTTGGGCCAACTTTCGGAACAGCTTCAAGTCGTGGTAGAGGGCGGTGTGCAGGATTTCTCTGAGAAATTTTAGTGTTAGTTCTGTTTTCAAATCGACCGTAAAAATAGACCTTAACGCTTTTTATATCACGTAAGATATCTCGTAAGTTTTCTTAATATTGAAATTTTATGAGATTTTTATCCGTTTTTATTTTTTAAATGAACCTGATACTTATTTTTTACAATTCAATTTTAAAAATACAAAAAATATCTATTTCTGCCAAAATTATCACTTTCGACAAAAATGTCCACGAAAAAGATTTTATAAGTATTTTAAAATTATTTTTTACCACTAAAAACATAGTTAAATTTTGCTAAAAACAATGTTAAAACACTTACTGTTACGCTAATAGGCATTTCTGGGCTAACATGGGAAAAGATGGTCCCCCGATAATGTTATAGAACCAACAAAACCTTTTATCAGCTTTTCCAACTTTCAATTTATGTAAAAAAATTTTATAATACCCCTAAAGGAAACTTTTACGCATTAAAGCTGCCCAAAACCCACTCATAGCACTCCGGCTCCAACTGGGGTCGTTGTATCGGCAAAAATTCTGCCAGCTGTAGCGATCGGCCGGCTTTCTCAAACATCGACACGTACACCTCCCATTCTTCCTTTTGCTCACCGCAAATCTAAAAAGAGACCTTGAATTTTTTTAATAAAATTTTCATACCTCTTGCAGTAACTTGGCGGCATACTTGACCCGGCCTTCCTTGAGGAGCTCTTCTATCAATTGCCTAAATTTTACAGTTTTAGCTATCATCATGTTTTTGTACCTAGAAATGGCCGCCGGGGAGCAGGTCGGGTCGGTGATTTCATCTTTGTGTTGTAGCGCGTATTTCCAGGCTTCTTCGATCCGGCCGTGGTCGCGGCGCCATTGCACCACGTCGTCCGGGCAATTTGGGGCTGCCTAAAAATGTTTATAGAGGTTGTAGAAGCGGAAATAAGCTCATAAAACGTCTAAAACCAACCGTGACTATTTGTGAAGGGCCCATCAAAAAGTAGGAGTTGAACTCGGGCAACCCGGTCATCGAGAAGTGGATAGGCAGCGAATGCGGCTTGGTGTTGAAGCCAATTCGATCTTCGGCCTAAAGAAGGTTCCATAGATAATTTTGCCTAAGCATTCCCGGTACTGGTCTGTTAGCGGGGGGGGGGTATATGTTTACAGGACTTTATGCAGTTTTTTATATAGAAATTTTCTGAAAATGCTCGAGAATTATCGACATTTTTGCTCAAAAATGTCCGAAAAATCGCAGGTGGACAACAAAAATTACCCCCCCTGCTAACAGTCCAGTACCGAATTTTTGCCAGAGTATTTCCCACCTGTAAATCAAATTCCCGTGTATTTGATGGTTCCAAAATAGCTACAACGGCCGATGGGGGAGCACCGGACGAGGCCACGCTCAATGAAGCAACTGACTGAAAACAATTGTTTATTTTCGTGTAAAAAATGCATAAATTTATAAAAAACAAATCAATAGGATCGAAACGTAACCATCAAAACTTACCGCCACGTCGTTGAAACCCTCCAGATTTCCATCCTCTTCTTCCCCGGGTTTCAGCCCGAAAATGACAATCTCGCCCCAGGGCTCATAGGGCTAAAAGTATTTTTAATACCTTTATTGCTCTTTTTCGGACTGACCGCCGGCGTTTCCTCGTTTTCCGCATCTTTCTGGCCATTGGTGGGCAAGATGTGGGAAATCCCACAAATTCCCACCTCCACCGTCCATGTGTAGATGATCTTGCCCTCACGTTTTCCCTGAAAATGAACAATAGTTTTCTATTTTGCTTTTCAGGATTTTCTATTTTTTTACCGGATAAAGCTTCTTGTCGATATACCTGATCCCTGGGCGTAATATTCAAAATCGTGACACTATCCGCCCATCCGATGGCCAGCGTCATGTCGTCCAGCCAGCAGTGCTGGGGCGTGAAACGAGTTGAGCGAAGCCGGGAAACGTCGTGGCCGGGTGGAGCATGAGTTATTGTAGCCGGAGAACCTCTGGAATGTTTCGGATTTCATTTTCCTTTCAGTACCTATTTTCTAATCATAAAAAATAATGAAAATATTAATTATGGAATTGAACCAACTTCGCTAATAGAACGGCATCCATGATCCGTGTTCCCTGCTCATTTGTGAAAGCGATCAGCGCCTTCTTCCAGGTCAACGCCGTGATGAAGCCGTCTTTTTCGGCACCGCGGAAGAGCACCTGAATAAACTTCGTAAGTAAAACAATTTGTAAAGTAAGATCAACATTTTTTTTCGAAATTTTTACGTTGAAAAGCCTGAGTTTTGTTAATAAAATTCTTTAAGTTTTCCATTCATAACTTCAATAAAACTTATTTTTGCGTACCTGTGGCTTTGTAAACAACAGCCCCTTCTCGTACATCAGCAAATCTCGCTCGCCCACGAGAATACGCTGGCCAGAGTCTTTTTTCGCGTAATTTGGTGAGAAGGCGATCGAGCGGGCCGCCGTGTTCAAGCTGATCGACTGAAAAGAACCCGATTTTTCCTTATTTTCATAATATAAACAGTTCATAGGTCAAAACTGGATGTTTTTAATCCTTACCTGATTATACTCCGTCGTCCCGATCCCGTGCACCACCACTCGCGCATCCCCGGCACAACTCGCAATATACGAGCCGGTCTCGTCGATGCAAATCCGGCCAATTGGGCTTCGGTGAGGTTTATAAGGCTAGAAATTGGTTCTAAAAACTTTTAGCATTTTGCTTACCGGTATATTTAAATTATCGACATTCCCAAGATGATCCATGACAATCACCTGGCCAGTATGGGTGCCTAGCGCCAAAAATTTGGCGTGACACGCCATCGAGGAAGTGATGGACTTTTTGTACAACTAAAAGAGCAGATTTAGATCGTTTAAATGATGGTTTCAAGCTAAAGATTTGTAGAAGCCTACTTCAATTACATCAGTGCTTTGCAGTAAAGTGTAGTGAAGACGCGGCTCGAGCAGCTCTTCATCGTCCTCATCATCCGAGATCTCTTCCGGTAAAGGAGATCTCTCGGCCGGTGGTTCTCCGTTCATCGTACCTGACGGGAAAGTGGTTTTTCGAAACGTTTGGAGTGTTATCGTTAGAAATGTCTATCAATGCGTCAATCTTGAAAATTTAGGATTTGAATGGGCCGGATGCCAGATGGTCGCTTCAAACGTTGTTATCTTTAGGGGCGGAAATGGTGCGCGAAAAGGTAAAAAGGGTACGGCTTCAAATAAGCACTTTTTAATTGAAAAAAACGTAAAAATAAAGTTTGTCTTGAAACCAACCCTCTATAGAACTCTGCATCCTCACATTGATGTTGCAGTACCAGAAAGAATTTTTACAACTAAAAAAAAATAGATTTCCTAAATCCACTTTTCCTAAAATCATAAAAAGAACCAATGGATCTCCGGTGTCTCATTTTACTTTTAAGCCTCTTGAGCAATTATTTATCACCAAAAATTCAATCGCTATCACAGTGTTTTTAAAGTTAAAATGAGCGACAAACGGCACGAGGGGTGAGCACCAACATTTTGATACGGGGGCAGGAAAAGGAACGTAAGGTAAGGTCACACGAAAAGTAGTAAGCGAATATCGAAGATATCAATCGGGCTGGTATCACAGACAATATGAAAGGGACTAGTGATATGCACATCTCAAGAGAGAAAGAGAGGAAAAAGACCGGGAAAATCAGCATAAATTATTATAATCCTAGCGCACCATTAGCCGATAGCACCGACGAGTCGAAATCGACGTTCACGGCTTCTTCGCCCATTGTCACGTGTCTGAAAAAATTGTAGTTTTTTTAAATTTGTTAAATCGAGTGTAGACCAAGTTGCTGTTTTTCAATTTTTCAATTTCAATTCAATTTTCGCTATATTTCATGCCGAAAAAATATGAAACAAGCTTGGAAATAGGCTTCTTTGGCATTATCGGGCGGGGGTCAAATTATTCTTAGGATACAATTTTTCAAGCATAAACAGCGGCGTTTCTAAACTATTTTTTATCCCTAAACATAAATAACAAACGTTGCACCACAAAAATACAAAAACAAAATTTCGACTTTTTCAAAAAAATTCTAAGGTTTTCAGATAGTTTTTCTAGTTAAATATACTTTTATTTTTCTGAAACACTAATACAATACTTACTATTAAGTCATTTGACATTTCTAGACATCAAAAAAGTTCGGTTTTTGGCTAAAAATTGGTGATTGTATGTCGAGTATAGATACTTCTATTGTCTTAATACAAATTTATGGAATCTAGGTTTATATATAACAAGTAAACATTGGGTTTCGCCACCAATAATGGGAATTGGAAAGAACCATTCAGTTTTATTTCAATGTAAAAAGCTTGAATTAAAACAAGATACCTTTCTCGGTGTGGGTTACGATGGACATCTTCGTAACACAGCTGCGCGACGTCAAGGGCATGGACAAGGCTATTCGCTACTTGGTTAGCCTAGATAAAATTTTTTTTGCTTGATAAATCGGTACCTGCGCGTTTTCATCAACTGGCTTTCTTCCAACTAGTGAAGCCGTGGAAAAGATGGAATCGAAGGGGCGCTCGAGTTGCGGGCCTTTTGGCCTGAAAAATACAAAAAATGAGCGTAAATTCATTTGAAAAACCCACCATTTCCCCTTGATCCATTGCCGAAATTCGTGCAGCATCCGAATCGTGCCGATCGAGTAGGGCGTGTCGAAGCCACACTGTATCCGCAGCTGCCGAATGTTGCAATCGAGAAGCTGGACAGCAAATTCAAGATTTGCGCGCTCGGTCTTGGTGCGAAAGCCGTACAGCGGGAACCTAGATTAAAAGGTCTTTGATACCAGAAAAATTTTTACTTCTTGTCACTTTTCGGGTCCGTCACCCAGCTGAACGAGCCGGCAAACGTCATCGGGTACAGCAACGGGACGTCCATCACCCAGAAGATTTTCTCCATGAAGCTGACGACGTGGCCGAGGGCGGCTGAGAGTTCAAGCTCGGAATGGCCTGGAAAAATGAAAATTCAGCTAAAAATTTCGGTCAACTCACCGGTCATCGAGTCACTTCGTGGTAGATGAATTCCGGCGATGTAGTCACAATGTACGCAAGCGCAAGTTCGCTTTCCGTCTTTGTACGTCAAATCCATACGGTCAACCTAAAAACAAGGATAAAAATCCATCTTGAAAAATACCTGGACTCTAAAAGCATCAAAAAGATCTTCGATCATTTCTTTCCGGCGGTCCAGCACGAGTTCCCTCACGTAGCCGCAATGCGTCTCGATTTTATATTTGGCGCTTTGGGCGAGGGATGCCTAAAAACCGTTTTTTAGGAATCCAAAATTAATGTCTTTCTTTCTGATTTTTTATTATTCTTTTTGATTCCCGACGTTTTCTAGAGGACCGGAAAACTCGTAGAGCCTTGTAAAGAAAGGCGACAAACCTTTTCCTCAGCCGCCTGAATCTCCAAATCGAGCTGATCCAGCCTCACGTCCCGATCGGCACATTCTTGCGCGACGTCGCTAATTTGCAGCCTCCGAGCGGCCAGCCTACGCCTCAACTCGGCAACTTTTTGGCGTAGCAACTCGTTGTTGATCTCCTGGTTTTGCAATTCTGCCGCCTAAAAAAGGATTTCTACAATTTTTTCCCGACAAACCTCATCCAACTGCTTGAATTGTTCCTTCAACGGGCCTTCCGGGTCTACCAATTCCCTCAAATCGGCGTTTTTCTTCGAAATATCTCGTATCGCACCGCAAAGATCTCGCAATCTATAAAAAATTCAGCTCTAAAAATGTGTTTTACCTTTTAAACTGGGCTAGCGAGCACGGCGATTGCAACGCTTGTCCATTTTCGTGTAAATTTGACGTAGAGGAAGCATTTGAGGATTGTGGAGTGGCTCTAAAATGTGTTTTTGAATCAATTAACTAAACTTACGGGTTCTGAGCCTGGTTATTCCGTTGTAAATGCCGGATGTCGGCGTTGACTTCGCCAAATATCGACTCCAAGTCGGCTTGTGAGGTGGACGGCTTGGCCGTCCCCCAAATATCCATCGGGCTGAAGCAATCGATTGGGAAATTGTACGACCACATGATAAAACAAGTGGAAAATGCGCACTTTGAAATGGAAAGGCGATTAGTCAGAGAGTCCGTCAGTTTTGGCGTGCAAGGAAAACAAGATCGCGGTGACATCGGGTTTATTTTAGCGATGTTCACGTGAGGGTCAGTTTTTCCCAGGGGTAAGCATGGTGTGGATGGCATTTCGAGGGGTGAATAGTTCAGTGACCAAGACTAGATAATGCATAACCTCGGCGCCACAGGGTTGCCCTGTGCAGTGGACCAAAACGGGCAAATAAGAGGCCAGAATTCAGGAACCGACCGAGATTTTCAACCCGCATGCAGTTTCTGGGTTTAAATGGACAGTTAATACACGAAAAATGATAGCTTTCGAAGATTTCCCGAGGTTTCTAGCTCAAAAACTCAAAATTTTTGGTTTCGGACCGGAGATCGCTATAAAAATGCGTATTTTCACAACGCTGAAGCCAAAGACGTGTCTCAAGCAAGCGTGAAGGATAATCGATTTTTTTCCGGTCCCGTTGATGAAAATTGTTAGAAAAAAATCGCATGTTTCTAAAGTGTTTTCGGCTTTTTAGCGTTATAAATATAAAATTACTGGGTGAGCGGGCGGAAAGAGTTATAAATCTCGCTCTTTTCTCATAGTTAAAGTCCGTTTTCCAAACGGGCTTCACCTTGGAGCCTGAAACTTGCTTTCTCGATCAGCCGTGCTTTGAACGCTATCGAGCCGGGGCGCGGGGTCGGTACGCGAGAAGACTCTTGACGGCGCCTCGCGTGGCTCCATCGGGAGAGCGTCGCCCACTAACCAACAAGGCCTGCTCGGAGGCGTTAGATGTTATATTCCTACTTTTAATTTCTAAGTTTAACGCTTTTTTTGGCCTGATTTGATCTGTTAGACAGTCCCGACGCTCTTTACAATCTTTAGAAAAGCTAAAGCATACCTGAAGCAAAATAATTCTTGTATTTTCATTCGCCCATAAAGCCGGTAAACTTGGAAAATCAAACAAAATCCGAAAGCATGAAAATTAAAATTAGTTTTTGATTTCATGGCGTGTATGGTTGACATTGCCGCATAAATATGATCGTTTTCTTGTATTCTCTCGGAAAGTGACGCTCTGGAGAAATATCGACCTTTATAGAAAAAGAAAGCAATCATTTCTTATAGAAAAACTCGTGATGGTGGAAAGTTCGGACACGATGCGCATCGAGGATATTCCTGGGACATCGGAGGTAGTTTTATCTAATCTGATCAAATCGTATTTTTTAGACGAAAGCCCTTCACCTGCTCCCATCCGCCGCCAGCTCGGCGAACCAAGGGCTGGGCGTAAGTTTTTAGGCTTTTGCCTTTTTCTAAGTGCTCATAGTTTACCTTGGCGGACGCGTTAAAGGAGGGCGAGGTGAAATCGACGACCCCTATGCTTCAGATTCAGCAGAACAAAAGCATCAACCTTTACCGGAAGACGTTCCTGCTCGGCGACAAGCGCGGTGAGTTTTTTGGCGATTAGAAACCTGTCGAGCTGCCGATTTGTTTTTATCCAAAATTTTCAACGAACATATTTTCTTTTAGACGACAAGCTCGTCTCTTCTCGAACACCAATCTACAATCCGCAAAAGAAGCTGCTGCTGCGGCCGATTTACAAGATGGCCGGGCCCGGGCAATGGTAATTTTTGCCCTTGGATTTCTGATTATCGCTTTGCTTTCAGGAAAGTCGATCGCGGAAAATGCCCGGGAGATTGCAAGAAAGAGTTGTCAATTTGTGAGTCGAAACGCTACTTGATTTATTGTTAATTTTAGGCGTGATTCGCGAGCACATGGCCTATGGTTGCCCTAAGACAGTGAAGAAGGTGCAGCTGAAATCGTTGAACTCGGATGTCCGGGCGGGGTTAGTGATACATTTCTATGTGGCTTATAAGGCTATGAAGTTGCTGAATAGAAATTGATTAATTATAATTTTATTAATAAATAAATATTTTTGCGTCAAAATGATTATAAAAACCGGGTTGTTTCGGATTATCGGCGGGACCAAAATTTTTCCTAGGATCTAATTTTGCAAACGTAGATGCGGAAGTGTTTCCAAACGTTTTCATTCCTAAGCGTAACAGTGTTACAAATATTTCATTAAAAAATCAAGTTATATGGATTTTTTGCCCAAAAATGTCCCTTTGTTACCGAAATTTCGACTTTTTGAGAAAATCTGGAAGTTTTAGCTAGTTTTTCTAGTTGAAATATAGTTTTTTACGAAAAACACATAAGATACTTCTTATTAAGTTATTAGGCATTACTAGATTAGCCAAAAAAAATGTTAGTCTCCACACCAGATAATGCTAAAGAACCTCCTTACAGGCGTAATCAGCGCACAACATGCCCGGGACCGTGCGGCCGCCAACTTTCTATCGGTGCTTCTATAAAACCTATTTTGTAAAGTTTCTTTTTCAGGCGTCGTCGAGGAGCACATTTCCTGGGGATGCCCCAGCCACCTTGCCGATCCGGTGGAATGCCCTTTATGCCCGGAGGAGATCAAGGTATGGCTTTTTGGGTTTTGTTTATTTTTGTAAATTCAGACGCAAATCGCCCTGCTTCTCCACTGCACCGAACAGCACAACATGGAAACGATGGCCCTGCAAGAGAAGACGTTCGACAATTGGCCGGCTGCTGAGGTGAGAGAGTATCCAAAATTTTAATTTACTTTTTGATTTTTATTGATATAATCTTTATGCTGAATTTTCTGTAATGATTTTTTTTCAGGAATTTGTATCGAGCGGGGATATGAAAGAGGAGGAAGCCGTGATGATTCTCTCTGTTGGCGGGACGGCCTCTGTCAAGACTTATACGTAAGTTTTCAGATAAAATTTTAAAAACGCTTTAAATGAATTTAATTTGCTTTTCTTGGCAATATCGAAGCAACTTTTATGTTATGACATAACCGTCTAGTGGCGTATTAGTATTTTTTTTATAGTGTTTTTCGTAAAGTTTAACTAAATTTTAATCGAAAAGCGGCCTAGCTTGGTCGAGCAATTTATATTTTTTTTGTATTTTTCGTCATAATTTGTAACGTTTTTGTGCATTGAAACATCAAAATACCGCTTAGACACACTGCTCTTTTATATTTAAAAAATTGGATCATTACGAAGAAAATCCCCGCCCCGATAATGCAAAAGAACCTGATTTTAATCCTTCGTTTTCATCAAATTTCTTTTTACTTTATTTCTTCCATCTTCAGGTGCTCCTACGGCTTGACGATGGACTCGAAGAAGCGCTGCACCGCCTACTATGCCGCCCGGAAACAAAAGGATAATCGGTTCGTTCAGTGATCTTTTTTGTAGTTTGTAGAAAATTGTAATTTTTATGTTTTATATCTAAAATTTTATATTTGAAATTTTAGGGTCTGCGTCCGTTACTGTGAGCGCCACACCCATTGGGAGGAGCCACCTGCCGAACCGGAGCCGGAAACCACTGAACCTGCCGGACGCCCGACCTACAAGAAGCCGCCAGCCCCGACTAAACCCTAACTTTTTAAAGTATCTCCCCCTTTCTTGCACTCCAAATGTCAGCCACGGGTCGATTGTATTTTCGTCCGCCTTTCAACCCAAATATTCGCCCTCCTCACCCACTTGATTCATGCTACTAACGCTTTTATATGTTGGAAACTCTTTTAGTGATTGGTGCTCATGTTTTCAATAAATGTTTACAACTTTACGCTTGTAACAATTCAACACGGTTCTTTCGCTTTATCGGGGGGGGGGGGGGGGGACCTAATATGCATTATTTTCGCGGTGATTTTAGTATAAAAACTATACTTCTGCTAGAAAACTGTCGAAAAATTTTGAAAAAATCCGAAAACCCGAAGTTTCGGTAAAAAATGGCAGACTTTGCTCTAAAACCCGATGTTTTTGCATTTCTTTTGAATAAAAAAAACTGTGTAAAGTTTTTACGTGTAGGAAAAGGGAAAACGGTTAGAAACACTTCGGCCATTTTTATATTAGAAAAATTGGATCTTTAGAAAAAAAGTTGCTCCCCCCCGATAATGCGAAAGAACCTAAACTTGTGCCCATCAAACACTCTTCCCACGCACATTTCACTTTCAAAATTTTCAACAACCATTCTAATTTTTTAGTTTTGTTTCACTTTCGCGGAAACCTCTCGGCCGGGCAACTTTTGGCGGACTACGCGCCACTCCTCTCCACGCATGTCGGGGCCGATTTCCTTCAAAAGTGTCTGCCAAAGGTTGGGTCCCGCCGCGAACGTCGAGCCGATACCATGGAGGTACTGTAGCTAGAAAAGACGGGTTAGCGATAACCACATGACCCCGAGGGAACCCGATTCAGAATTGTCTTTTTTGAGATTACTTTTATCAAGTTTTTCGCGCTTTGATACCTTTAGCTAGCGTAATTAGATGGGAAAGCTTTAAAATCGAGGTTTGAGCCTTGGTATTTGTATATTTTGTGAAAACTGATATTTCGTATCGAATTTATCTAAGTTCGCAATTAAATAAGCTATTAAAAAGAGTTGAAGTCTTCAGAATAACGTTTTACAGCCCCTGCGACGTTCATAGCATTATGTTTCATTGAGAAAATTAAGCTTCTTTGCTTATTCTTCTAAAATTCATGAAAGTTTTTACATAAATAAGCTCTTAAAGGGGGTTGAAATCTTTAGAATAAAGCTATACGGCTTCTCCCAGATTCGTAGATTAAATATTATGTCTGAAAAAGAGCATTTTTTCTTTTTATTGCCAGTGAACTCGTAATAATCCAATTTTCCAGATACTTGGACGATGGAAGATGAGGCCCCTAGCCTAGAAATAATGGAACAACAGGTAAAAACGGTTAAAACGCGCTAAAAATGCCATTTTTTAGGAAGATGCAGAGGAGGAAGTCTATGACGAGTTCAGTGTCGAGGATTTGATACAGGTAAAAACAATAAGTATTGCTTATCTAAATCATCGTTAGCCGCCAGAGGATGAGATCGCTGATGAGCCTGAAGAAGCTGAACCGGAACCGGAAGAGTTCGAAGCCCCACCACCGCCTCCCGCTTGGAAGCCAAAACTCAAGATTAGCAAGGTCCAGCACCCGCAGTCGAAGCTGGGGCATAAGGTCCAGAAAAGGGTATAACCTTGGAAGAACGATTTTCGAATTATGATATCTTTTAGACAGCCAGAGAATGCTTCCAATGCGGCGCGACGGAAGGT